CTTTTTCCAATTCCTAAAAATAACAAATAAATAATATTAAAAATAAGTAGTAATTACTAATTAATAATAATAATAATGATAGTGGTGGTGATGATACTGACTGCAATTGCATTTGATAAATCAATACAATCATTTAATTCTTTATATTGCATTCCTCTCGGTACAGTTGATTTGTCATTCCTTTCCTTTAATAAATTTAATAAATCTTCCTTGGAACGAATTGAATGATCCGGCTATATAAATATAAATAGATATTAGAATTACTAATTATTATAAAACCTGTAGAATGTATGGCACATATTTTTATTATATACAACATATAATATAATAATTATTGATTGTTATTGTGATAAAATTAATTTCGGATGGTAAATATTGAAGGTTTATGCGATTTATCAGGTTGGTTTCTTTTGTATTTTTGATTTGTTGAGTCATGAGCCGGCTTTTCCCTTTACTTTTTGATTGTTTAGACTTGAAGGAGAATTGGCTAATTTTTTTATTATTATTTCCAGTAGATAATGGTGACTTAGCATTTTTGTTTTTATTGTAGTGTTTGACTTGTTCGATCATCCTTGTTAAGAAGAATCAGGAAATTTTCCAGTTGTAAAAGTGATTGAATATGACTGACGATTGGTTTGTGATTTTTGGTTTCCATTCCTAATTCGTCTTTACTTTCGCTCACTGACGATTAGACCATTTGATTCTTCAGTAGCCGATTTTACTTGATGAAATTCATTTGTTTCTATTACAACGTTAATCACGGTGAATTTAGCGAATTTTCCTTCGGATTTTGTCCTAATATTAATATAGGCTTATCTTATTACTATTCCTCTCGCGACGAGAAGATAATCCTACTACTACCGAAAATTGTTCGTCTGTATTTATTATTAAACTTGATCGACAAAATTTGAACATATAGATGGCAATTAATCCTGAAATAGAGATTGGTGTTGCACTAAATTGATTTTGTCGTTTTCGTTAAAAATTTTTCATATATTATGCGCAACAATAAAAAATGGATTATCCAACTCACAATAAAATGCTTGTTCCACAATCAAATTCTAGAGTAGTTCCTATACCACAACGTAGGCCTTCTTCATCTCCCTCACCACAAAGAGATCGTGAAAGTTCACTACCGATTACACCTCAAAGGCGAAGTGCAGGAAATTCTCCAGTTAGTATTAGCACAAGTTATATCAATAAATTTAGTTGTAGCATTCAACGCTTGTATTTTTTTTTTTATATTATTAATTAATTAATCAATATTTTTTTTCTCGTAGATGAGTTCAATAGAAACCATGGTCACTCAACTTCTTGTTACTACCAAAGCTTTATTGGAAAGTTTAACTGGTTGGGCGGCGAAACGTGTTAATCAACAACAGGTTTCTGATATATATGTAAAACTTGTAAGTGAATTTAACACTGTTATACAATTATTTTCTCAAACTGGAGTTGATATAAGGTGAGTTAATGATAATATATAAGATTGTGTGTGTGTATATATATATATAGTTCATATTTCTAACAACTAAAATATTTTAATTTATTAAATAAATGAATTAGCGATTTAACAAATATTCCAACAAATTTAAGAGCATGCTTAGAAAAGGCACCAAAAGATATTGATTTTTCATT